AGACGCACGCTTGCGCTTGAATTGTCAGAACCATGAATTGTCCAATGAGCGTCCGTGTAAAATAAAAAATATCCTCCTCTATGTAATGCAAACACGAGGTACGTTCAATGATTTTTGGTAATTGGTACGTTTGCTATTTGTTGAAAAATTAAAAAAATTAACTTAAAGAAAGAAAGCACTGATGTTTGTAAGTAATTTATTTTATCTTTTTGTTTATTTTAAACAAAACGAGCATTAAATTTCATACTTGGTAATGCCAATTTATCACATTTTCGAAATAATAATATTCCTTGAAAATGACCATTAAGTACGAAAAGTCATGGAATTGTTTCTTAAATTTCTGTACGAAACATGTATAATATTGTATTCTAATTGTATATATAATCATGTAGTTAGCTAGGGTTCAGAGTTCAGAGTTGTTCGTTGGTCTGATTCACAGACGGATTTTTACGACAAATTGCGAATTTAACACGGTCTAGATCTATTTATGAAACTTGTAACTATAATACTAATATATAACGTGAATATGTAAGGAAATCTTATAACATAATGGCAGTAAGTCTGATTCCTACGTAATTGCTACGCATTTCAGTTTTTGGCTTTCAATGCCTCGTGTTCGAGAGGCATTGACAATTCCACACAAAACTAGCGAAAAAAGTAATAAATACGGGCATTTGAAGTTTTTGAAAGCGCTTTGCTAGTTCTCCGTGTGATTTTAGACTTTTGTCTTAGTTATATCCTTTAAAAAAATGCACAAAAAGCAATACTTACCATTTTGTGTTCAAACCTGAAAATGGCTCATACGGAAGTTCTTGCCCATCCCTCCGCAAGTCAGTATACCGCTGACTTTAGCCGTGTGTGAAGACTCTGGGCTCGAGATTGATTCCACCGGTTTCAAGATGGCGACATTTTGTAACAAGCAGTTCAAGTCAGGAATCGTAAATGAGAGACTTTCTTAGCAGGAAAATGTCGTCTTGTGATAATGACCTTGAAAAATGTTTCGGCTACGCGATTACAGATACACTTTGCAATATTTGTGGAAATGATTAATTTCCGCTTCCATTTTGAAACTTTGAATGTAATCCGCCTGGATGGGAACTATCTTCATTGGTATGGTTCAAATACAGACGACTACGGTAAGTTCTTTCAGAAGAAAGTGAAATGCCGAAACTCACGGAATTTTTAGCTCTCGAAATCTTTCAAACACCGTTTTTCTCTTTGTTTACAACTCCAGAGATGTAATAGTTTTCCCTCCATCCTGCTTCGATCATCTCTTACTTCGTTCCTTGGAAACATCGAGTAGAACTAAAGATCCAAGCAAACTCTCTCCTGGTATGGTGTTGATGGAAAACTCTGGAAAGGATTCTGCTTTTGTCTTAATCAAAAACGCTGACTGAATGTTACTCTCAATGTGATGAGATTATAAATTGGAAATGTCGATGAGGATAATTCGTTTAATACTAAGCGCTTGTAGTATATATTGGTCGTAAATGCTGTAGTTTCTGCTTGTTCTGAAAGGTTACTTGTTTTATATATTTTCTTTACCTATAATGCAGTGGGATTATTGTCTAGCAAGCCTATGGTTGAATGTTTTGAAAAAATTGTTACCCACGCACCGAATATCTATACGTCTGCAATAATCTAGGTGATCATGCTCGTTTCGTATGAGAACTTAGTTCAAGGACAATCTCCTATTTTGATGTTTGCTATCAAATCACAGCGTTTCACATCGATTACTGTCAGCTTAAGAGATATGCCGAAAGCAAGTCTAAACTATTGTGATTTCTTAAGGAACATCGATATCGATTCTAATGAATATTTTAATAGTTCAAATTCATTATCATTGTTTCCAATATAATACAGATCAAGCGAAACTTTACATATTTTTCACAACTTGTCTCTATGCTCAATAACTTAACCTTATACGTCCTCCATATTCGCTGGTTATGTAAAAAGTGTAGTAATCTTGACAAAGTTTATATCATATCAAACTTCAATTTCCATTGAAATGGTGCATAACTTACTTTTTGTGAACTTTTTGTATTTTGTTTCATTTTTGTCGTGATCTTTCCATAGTATGAAAATCGATTATTTTTCCAGTGTTTATGGAAGAGAGAGAGTTTCCTTTTTCAGTTATCTTCCCGGACGCATCAGACTAACCCAACCTTCTCTTTAAGCGTTCCATCATTTTTTAGCTTGTGTAGAGTTTTTCAATAGCTCCATTTTTTAGTTTGTCAAGCCATTAATGCTTCTTGCAAGGATACATCTCACTGCAGGCTGTATGTTGGCTCACTTGCGTCTGAAATCAACTTGATTTGTTTTTATTTTGGTGCGAAGGGTGAATAGCGATGAACACGGGATAGAGTTATCCACTTTTCAGATACTTTTTTCGGATTTTATCTGAAGAAATTGGTAAACATTGGTAAAAATTGTAAATCTTATTAATACAAACTTTGCATGTTATACAATGCAACTTATTTTATTTCTTTTTTACTGTTCAGTATCGACTAGTTATTAAAACAACTTTGTTGTCTTCACTGATATGTTTCTTGCTGGAACATTGGCATTTTCCTGTTAAAAAAAGCAGCTCGATAATACTTTGCCGAGACCATGACTCCAGATGTGTTGTTTATATACCAATTGTACATTACAATCTCGCAGAACCATCATCAGCTCAAAATTTATTAAGAACTTGAAACCTGATAACCCCGTATATACATTAGTTAGAGTAGGATCATGACCAGGGTTCTTACCTATAATTTACGTGATCAAAGAACTTTTTCTTTAGCACCTACGACAACTAACCTATTTAAGAACTTTGTAGCATGTAAACTGTCCTATTTGCTCACTTAATTTTGCTGACCCACCTGTAATTCAGATTATTCTACAAGAGGTGTCTATTAAACAAATCTATCTATCTATCTATCTATCTATCTACCAAGGTGGCGAATTATGTAAAAATAGTATAATATCAAATTAATAAATTATAAAAGTTAAAAAAAATTAAATAGCTAATTATGAATTATAATTATAAGTCATAAGCTTTCATAAATAAAAAGGTTTTAAGCGTTGACTTAAAACTAGAAAAAATACTATTATTTCTAATGTAATCAGGTAGGCTATTCCGTACCTTAGGTGCTGCTGCCGTGTAGGATCTATCTCCTAATGTTTTTTACACTTGGGTCTAGCAAGGTGATACTGCTGTCTGATCTTAATTGATACCTAGTTTTCGTCTTAAATCTTAAAGTCTTAAAGGACTTAAATCTTATAGCCTTAAAGGTCATAACAGCTATTTTATAAGTAATGCGGTAACGCACCGGTAGCCAATGAGGCTCAATGAGAACAGGTGTTATATGTCCATAACGTGATGTATTACTAATAAGTCTCGCAGCTGAATTCTGAACACGCTGCAGTTTTCTTAGATGAACTTCAGGTACTCCATATAGGAGACTGTAATCTATGCGTGACATTATTACAGACTGAACAATAAGTTTGGTTCGATCGTAAGAATGTCAAGAACCTAAAAGTGGATATGGGATGTGGCCTTGGACAGTGATTGAACCTTCGACAACGTTGAAGACATGACATGGCTTTGGGAAACTTTCCATGGAGCATGTGGTATGAACTCTTCAAAGAGAGAAAAGTCCTTACTTCCAATCAGATGCAGTCTAAAGGAAAAATACAAGATGAAGGAGTGTGTATAATGGCAGAAAATTCAAAACAGCTTACCTATTTCAAAAACATTACCTTTATTCTGAGAAGTAGTATATATATTGTGTCACAAGGTCACCCCTAGTTGTGAAAGTTTTCAGTAAAATGTAACCACTAATTTCCACATGATATGATGGAGTTATTCTTAAAACAGTGTGCATTTTTGAAATTCGTTATACACGAGTATAAGGTGCTGTACCTGCTACAGGTTGCACGAGCGATGGATAATTTTATCAATAATAATAATAATAAAAATTAATAAAAAAGCGACTTTAAAAAAGGACATAAATTAAAGTAGAAAGAAGACGAACCAGTTGGGTATATTACAAGCATGGGAAAGAGACTGAATTTGAACTAATCGGTATCGGGACAAATTGAACCTGGCCCATTGGATTACGATACAAACACTCTGACTACTCGGCTATACTGTCTGCAGCATACATCCTTTATCCACTGAATAAGGCTATCGTCTCCATAGATCTTATATGGAATTTATTCCAATATCAATTTTCAGGAAGTTGCATATCATTTTAGAAAAGTTAGAAGATGGGACAGAACATATTCTCCAAAATAATTGATAAAAACATTTTTCTATATTTGAGACGGAGTTGTTTTCGAAAATGGCGCACTTCTAATTATTCCAAACATCTGGAGTAAAGCTTGTCGTTATTCTGCAAACAGAATATATTTTTCGAAAAATTTTATTTATCTTTTTTTTTTCATTTTGAAAAGTAGTGTATAATGCACTTCTAACTCATTTTAAATAACATTTTATGCTGCAATTTTCATCATAAGTAAATCCGAAACGTAACGTTACGAAGAAGTCGATAGGTTTTTCTTTTTGGTTACAAGGAAATACTATCTTCATTTTCAGAATTATATGCGATCTATTGCTTATCGCTTTTATTAAAAATCTTTGTGGGTTGGACCGTGCWGTTTCTGAAGAAGATTGAAAAACTGCACCTCATGGTCCTCGGTGTTCTTAATGAACAACAATGGACTTTGACAAAACATTAGTGTTACATTTATTTGTAGCGTCAATTTACAGAGTAAACGAAAATATTTCGGACTTGAATTCTTCATTTTCACTGTACGTCACAGCGGCCTGATTTTGGAGGAACTTCAACAAAGGATTTCCCATTAAGATATTGTTCATTCCTCCAACATGGTCTCTGGTCTTTTTATATCTTTTGAATTTCATGGAAATAATTGAAAACGATCATTACGAGCAAAACCGTGAAGAATGCACCTTAGGAAATTTACTTATACTACTTTTTCTGTCATTTCAGCTCAATGCCGAGGAAGAACTGGCAAAGATTGCGTTACCTGTCACATCATCCAACTTACAAAGCATTTTCCACGATGCGCACAATAGATCCTTGTACCGATATAGGTAAATGTATTGAACCCCACAACAGAGACGTTTTTATATTATTAGAAAGCTTAAGCATGACGTTCAAGGCAAACGGCAGAAAATATCCCTTGACCTGCTTTTAAGGTGTTTACCTTTAAAGTTTCGACGCGAGAGTGGGTTATTTTGAGTTTGCCATAATCGTGAAAAGTCGCTCTTTCAAATGACTCCCAAAAGCACAAGGTCCGGCACGAAATTCGTAGGTCGCTGGTTCACCTGTGCCGTTAGCAATTTGTCGTAAACGGGATGCTTTTAAGAGTTTAAACACTCTCTATTTTCTTAATAGAAACGGTGCAGCTACCTCTATTTTTGCTTAGAAAAAGCAAAAATAAGCTATGGATGACTATTGTAGCGGAAATAAAAAAGTACGAGGACTACAACTACCATCATGCTTTGTTGCACAAAATGGCGTCGCTGAACATTGTCTATTCAGCGCTGCACAACGGAATAATCGACTCAACAGTCTTTCTATATATATTATCTATTAAGGTCTTTCCTTTATAGACGTTATTTGCTCTTTTATTTGCAGTACTAGCTTGGCCTATCTATCAAACAGTGCAGCATATGAGACGTATTATCAAAGGCTTTTGGTAAGTAAACTGAATGTATATCCTTGTCAGCAATCTCTGCTAAATTTAGAAAAATTGAAAATAGCAATCTAAAGTCTGCTCATATTTGAGCATGTGGATTACATGTGATTTGAGTTTGTTTGGTTGGATCTTTAGATTTTTTGGTTTGTATCTCTTAATTCAGTGTGAGCGGCATTCAGTGAGTGAGATATCTAAATACTAATGTAGAGGCAGTACGGTGTGTTAACCTTTCAAGGGTCTTACAGAAACAACGAGCAAAATAAACTATATAGAAGATAGTAAAAGTATAGAATATTAAAACTATGTGTTTCTGCGCATAATTATTCATCTAATTTAACTTGCACTGGAATTTAGCATATGTCCCCACAGGATTTTGCAAATTATTTAGATTTAGATGCGTTCATGATGTACAATACGTACGCTCTGTTTGGATGACCTGCGTTCATCGTACAAATTGTTACGATTATTTTAAGAAAGGAAATTCCGTTAATTGCCATGTACTAAGGATTACAACAGATTTCGCAATCCATTCGGGCTCTAGTGTGCTTGCGAAGGCGATATCGTGTCTGCATGTTCGGTTTGACAGATACGAGTTTGAACCAATCTCAAATGCCGTCTGGAACACACATTTCTGCTGAAATGATCATATCACTTTGTAACCTCTTTGAGCAATTAAACATTATTTATGTTTCCAGGCCTCTATCCAAAGCCTTCAGGACTCGGTCACTCTTAAGAACAATCAAGCACTGGAGCAAGTCTTAAAATATGCTATGGACAAAGCAGTTGGTAAGATTAGAAACTCGTAAAGAGATTGAAACGAGTCACTGCCATACAGTGTTGATTCTGTCAGAATTGTTTGATATTTCAGAGGCATTTCTTAAGATGTCAAGGGACAGCTCACCGAGGACTCTCAACGTTCTGCATAAGACTTTGGACAATGCCAGGCAGGAAGCTTTCGAGGTACGCTATAGTCCAGTCCCAGCCCCTTTTCGACCCGCTCGGCCCGTGGGACTGGACGAGGTACGCTAGTGCCAATAGACGACCTATCAAATATACGTGAATTCATTGTTGTTGCTAGTTGTGGACAAGCATCATGTTATTGTTTTAGTTTTGTCCCAAGCAAGATTATGTCAACCTGATCTGATATTTCATTGCATTATTCATTATTAGGTGTTTGAAGCAGAGAGTGATATCGCTGCACAAGAGACCATGTTTCTGCCCTATAAGTCTATGCTGCAGGTAACAGTACAACCCTGATACAGGTGTTAGTAGTTTGTAAATATTTACACTGGTTACATTATGATATTCATAGTCCAGTCCCAGACCCTTTTAAAGGTTAAAAACTTGCTTTCGCATCCACTAACTGCATTATCCATTAAGCAACGGTCAGCAGGAGGTAAAGGTACGCGAACCTTTTAAGGTTAAAACACGCAGAAAACACCTGTTCTCTTCATTTGTAGGTTTTTAAACAGTATTTGTTTCAAGGATTTAGCGCGCTTATTATTCAATTAATTCCAATTATTTTTTTGAAGCAGTAAACCGTCAACGGAACCCCATCGAGACCCTCTTAAAAAGGATCTGGGACTGGACTAAGATATTCGTTGATTTACATTTACAGCGAGTTTAAACGTGTTGTTGTCATCAGATAAATATTTACAAATTCAGCATAGAAATATGATTGGCTAGCAAAATCACGTGAATAGTCCCCAAGAAAGCTATATTTCATTAATGTTTTTCAGAGTCAGTTGGATAATCACGTGATATCAATAGGTCAGGAAAATGAGAATCTTATTCGACAGCAGGCCACCGCTAAGGTACACAGTTATCCCGTATTTAGTGGCTTTCTTTAATTTGAAAATGTTTGAAAAGTGTCTGGTCAATTTCCCTCTTGTCCGTTAATAGGTGAGAGAACTGGTACTGGAATTCAAAGATAACACTGTTAAAATAGGACTTCCTCTGAATGAAACAGACCTGGAAACTAGGTACAACTCTTGTCACATAACAGCAACCATAATAACTAAGTCACACTGCTGTAAACCCGAAATAATTAACGCTACAACATTATAGTTCATGGGAATTGTTATATTCATGTTAAGGTTCTAAAACTCTTTTCTTCTCGATACGTCATCGAGCCCACCTGTTAACGACCCTATAATAGGCACGGTCTACACGTACCCGGATTCATCCGGATCCACACGAGTATTCGTTATGTATTCGATATCGTGAAGATTATATCAATCCGATGACATCAAGAGGACGTATCTAGATTGACAGATTCATTTCCACGAGAAAACCCTGTGGATTGTATATTGATCGGGATACGTGTGAACGAGGTTCTTAGTGGTTTCATGCTGTGGACTATATCATCTATTACTAATAAATACAGGCGAAGAGTGTTGCTCTGCAAGGGTCACGTTTCTAGAAACTTTCTCTGTTGATTTATACTCCTCGTGCTTGTTTGTACAGACTTGTTGCTGAAAAAGAAAGGATTCATACAAGCTATACGAGTTCTCAGGTACTTTTCATTTTAGTGTAATCGAAAATCACTTCCTCGTAGCACTTTGTTCATTCCTCTTTCATCCATACTTAGCAAACGTTGTTCCAATACTCTTCCCTCCARTACTAAGATGTCCATCGTCCCTACTGATCACAACCAATTCCCTTRTAGGCCTGTCCACGTAATCGTCCCAAAATGAGGCTTTCAATGTTATTGTGAGAAAACAAGAAAAATGCGTTTTTGGGACGATAGGGGAGATTGTGTTAATATTAGGTTCTTGGGCTAGGGTGTCTGTATAATCGCCCCAATTCCTGAATACCACGTTASATCATCGCCGCCATATTGGATGAAAATAACAAAGCATTCCTCATTCGCTAGCTCATTCATCCAACATGGCGGAGATAGCTTTGTTCTTTATCTCACGAGGGATTCTTGATCATGTGGTTGCAACCCAAGAATGGTTAAAAACGCATTTTTGAATTCTAGYTTCAGAAGGGATTGAACAACAATCGAAAAACGATTTTTTTTGCCGATTTTGACGATTATATGGATAATGTGGAAATTAAATCTCGCWTATTATGGATATGATTGTTTACTCGTGTTGTATTGATCATTTCAGGCGGGATTTGAAGAATTTGAATCAATAAAGACCGTCTTCAAGTCTCTTGAGGTACTATCAATCAGTCAAACAGTAATTGTTTCGTAGAGAAGACTTGTTTCCGCCATGATCGTTGGTAAAAAAAGGAATTAAAAAGGTTGAAAATGGTTGGTTGTGTCATGCTGTGATTGGCTGAACATCTAGCCAATCACTACCTTTTGCGTTCAACATCTTCATCAAATGCAGATTGTAGAAAACGTTTTGTCAAGTTTTACTATAGAATATTTCCGCGATTTTATAAATAGTGATGGTGCGCGCATAAAGATGAGATGTTTACGGGAAAACTATAAGCGAGATTCAAAAAATGTCGTATTACAATTTTTTTTCACTGACGTGCATTAAGGCCCGTTTACGCTTGCAATTTTTGACGCGCGACAATCGCCTGAGTTTCGAACATGCTTGAAATTTAGCCGCAACTCGCAGAGATTTTCGATGCAAAAATCGAAAATCGTAAGTGTAAACGGGAGAGTACAAACCCTAAAAGTGTGAAATATTGTCAACCAAATTGCTGAATAGTGCTAAATATTGTAGATTAGACAATAGAAAACAAAGAAATTCTTTATTAGCACCAGAAGTATTCAATTACAGTTTACTTTTTACATAAAATTAAATATTTCTATTAATGCTTAGGAAGCGGTAGAGGAGGTCTGCAAAGAACGTCGTCATGACAACATGGTAGCGTACAGTAAAGAAGTAGAGGTACCTTTGTCTACCAGTAAGAAGATCGTATTGATTTCAGCAGACAACTACGATACCGAGTTCTCATTGAAACAATATGTAAGTCAGCACTGTCAATATTTAACAGGGGTGGGCTGCCTGTGTTAAGATCAAGAGATACTCACTTCTCTTCACGGTTTTGCAAGATTTTATCCGATTGGTAGCTATTTTTACTAGCTATTTGTTGAATAAAAGAAATTATATATTGTTTTATTCCTCCAATCAACCTTACAAACTCGTGTAGGATAACAGACTTGTCTTGGTCGACGTTGCCCAGCCTGGTTCAACGGAATTTAAAAGTTGCGTGTTCGTTACTCGAGAAAATTGTATTACAGATCTAGTATTACAATGTTACAATTCTATTTGAATATTTTAGATCCGTCAAGTGTGTCTTCTGAACCTCGACGAAGGTAAACCGAAACACTGGCCGTTGTCTCTGAAGAACACCATCATTGACAACTTCATCGAAACAGACACAGACATGCGCACTATTGTCACATCAAGACGAGGCTTATGGAAAAATGTCAAGGGATTTATACAATGGCTGCTTTGGATTTTTGGGTTATTTTGATGAGA